TTCAAGGTTTGAGTTTTCAATCCTTGTCCATGCAATCCTTATTCTCTTAATTAGTATCAGAGCATAAGTGGTTGTCCTTTGAATCCATAAGATCAGATTATAGTTGGTTAAGATTACCTTGGTATCTTAATCATTTCTATGTTCAGGATAAAAGTTCTTCTATATACTATTCTTGCTCAAATATCTAACAACAATGGCTACTCATAATCAATCTCAACAAATGTATTCAATGCAACTAGAAAATAGTGTGGTTGCCCTTCCAGATCCCCATTACTAGTTGGTGAAGAATATGATCACTGGAGAGTCAGAATGGAAAGATTATTGATTGGAAGAGAAAAAAGTGAATAAATATGGAGGTCTGTGAAAGAAGGTCCTCACGTACCTATTAGGGAAATGGTTAGAGATGTTGCTACTACTCTCATGGGTTAGAATGAGCTCTGACATGCTCCCATAATAGCCAATGACATTGAGAAACTCCATGCCGACCAAATCGCGCTTTCCAAAATGGTATTCGAAGCTCCTCCATCTCTCTTTGAGCACATTAAGTTGTGAAAATATGCCAAAGAGATATGTGACACCTTTCAAGATCTGTTTGAGGGATCGGAAAACATGAAATACAAGTAGTTGACCTCTGTGGTGAATGAATTCGATATATTCACTACAACACCTGGTGAATTTGTAGCATTGGTATCAAACCGGTACAGAATAGTGGTGAACAACATGAATGCACATGGTGTTGTCCGAACTCCTCTGAGTACAACTTGAAGTTCATTGACAGCCTTGGAAAAGGATGGGTAGATTTCCTTCTTTCACATCTTTAAGGTATTTTAGGCAGCTTCTCTTCTAATGCCCCTTTGGGCACAGTGAAAGCAAACGACCTCTTCCGGATCACTGATAGGTGGGACTTCATAGTTAGCTTCCCATTTGACTCATTAGACTCTCCAATGCAAGCCTTCCCTTTCCATTTGGATTGGGAAGTGGTTTTTCTTTTCTTTCCTTGGACTAGATGAATCGTCATGACAGGAGCACTTGCAGCACTAAAAGGATGAGATTTTTGCATACATACTCCAGCCGTTTGCAACAAGTTATGGAGTTGCATCAACTTCTTTTCTGTATTGGTCGAATGATAGGTCAAGATGAACTAATCATAACAAATTTTCAAGGAGTTAACAACCATATCAATGGCCAACTCATTGTCGAAATTAACATTTAGCTTCTTCAATCTTTCCACGTGTCTCTGTATTTTCTGCACATAAGCACACACATATTCTCCTTATTTGAGCTTGCATGCCATTAGCGCTTTGATGATCTCATAGTGTTCTTTCCTAGCTTTCTTTTGAAACATTTTACCAAGAGTTATGTTCATCTCATAGTGTTCTCGCCACCACTGAAGGATTATCGGAGCAGCCGCCATGTTCAGTCGCCGGCGAAGACGAAGAAGGCACGACGAGATCGGGAAACATGGTTCGTGGGTGCTTTTGCGGTTCGTGGGTGGTCGCACACTCTCTCTTCACGTCTCTTCTGCTGCTGCCCAAGCCTACGCTCGCCGCCGCCTTGCTGCTGTCGCTTCCGGCCGTTGCTCGTCGCCAAGAAGGTTGCGGCTGCGTTTTCTTTGTCGGGTGTGGGCTGCCGATTCGCATCTGTTCATGGCAGTGCTGTGTGGGTTATTTCACGCATGGGTGCATGTGTTGTGTTGCTGAATGGTTGGAGGCCAAAAGGAATCACCTCCACCACCGTGAGGTGGTGGCTGTCCTCGTAAAATCACCCCTGCCGCCGCCAAACGCCACCAAGAGGGTGGAGGTGCTCCTGTTCCGGGAAAGACTTATGTGTGGGTGTGATTTATGTGGAAGTGTGTGTTGTGTGTGTTTTGTTTAGTCAGAATCCTCGAGAAAAGCCACCGCCACCACCGGCCACATTAGGATGGCTGTGTGTGTGTTATTTTGGATTAAGCTTTGTAATTGTAATTAGCATGGATTAATGAAAAAGAACCATAACCACCACCGTAAGGTGGTGGCCGCCGCCGTGTGCCGCCGTTGACCACCACTACCCGATGTGGTAGTGGGTGGTGCCCCACTAGCAAACCCTAATTGACCCAATGGGCTTAAGGATTAGTTTTGGGCCAATTGGGCCATGTTTGGGTGGAAAACCCTAATTGTGAGTATTTGGGCCTTGGACTTATTGGACCCACCTTTGGGCCATTGAGATTGGATTGTGTATTAAACCCAATTTCTCCATATCATTTATCTAGTAGAGTAAATGACTTAATGGATTAAGTTCTTAATGGGTTAAGTAAGAAACACTTAACTCTAATCATCATTCCATGTGAAAACCCTAATTTGTTGGGTTTGCAGTTGGACCTCCTGTTGGGCCTAGATGTTTTCGGCTATTGATGGACCATCCAAGAATAATCAAATGGACTAGAGTAATTAGTTGGGCTTTAAGGTAAGGCCCATATGAAGGATTGGGCCCAATTTGAAAAATTGGGCCATAGTTTGGGGCCTAGATGGTTGTATGATATTGGGCCCCTAGAATGAGACATGTTGGACTGGACTGAACAATTGGGCCTTAAGGGAAGTCCATGTAGAGGTTTGGGCCCAATTTGGAAAATTGGGCCATATGTTGGGCTTTAAGCTATAGTTGGAATTTTGGGCCTTTGGATTTGGCATTGGGCTTGAATCAAGCCCAGTTAGGGGTAAAGTAGTCTTTTACCCCCAAGCATGGACTTATGACTATGAGTTGGAACCCAATCATTAATTGGGTGTTATTTTTATATTGACAGATCGGGAATCTGTCATCCAGCTTGATGATTTGTCAGCCAGCAGCCCATGATTTATTCGCGGGACTTCAACAGTACGAGGTGAGTCCTCTTCCAGTAGGAACGGGTCTAAGGCACCAAGGCCGGCCCATATATGAGATATGATAGTAGCTAAGTGTGGGCGGGGCCCGTATCTCATTATTATTGAGTATAGATATCATTCAGATTATTGGATTGCTATACTTGTTGTCTGTGTGATGCTTGTATGTGTTGTTAGGAATACGAGTGTGGGCGGGGCCCGTATCTCATAGATAGCTGATATAGTATATATTTATGTGCTAGTGATATTTGTTGTTCGTTTAGAGCTTGTATGTATTTTCATGACTAGTGAGTGTGGGCGGGGCCCGTATCTCACAGTAGCCGAGTGTGGGCGGGGCCCGTATCTCTTATTATTCGAGTGTGGGCGGGGCCTGTATCTCGTAACTGTACTGGATTATGATATATGATTGAACGATAGATTAGTTATACATATTGTCTGTGTGATACTTGTATGTTTTGGCATAACAGCTGAGTGTGACGGGGCCCGTATCTCAAAGTAGTCGAGTGTGGGCGGGGCCCGTATCTCGAAGTAGCTGAGTGTGGGCGGAGCCCGTATCTCAGAGATAGCGGAGTGTGGGCGGGGCCCGTAACTCCTAGTTAGCGGAGTGTGGGCGGGGCCCATATCTCCTAGTTGCATGTTATATGTGCATGGTATGTGGTAGTTTGGGAAGACTCACTAAGCTTCGTGCTTACGGTTTTCAGTTTTGGTTTCAGGTACTTCGGTTTCCAAAAGAGGAGCTCAGGATGATTGCAGTGTACACACCATTTATTCAGCCTGGGATGTTTATACTCTGACATATATTTGACAGACATTAAGATATTCTTGGGATACACGATTCATGATTTCTATATGTTGAATGATAGATATGGTTTTATTAATGATTTAAAACGAAATTTTTAGACTGTATTTTTGGGATGTTACAGATACATTACCAAACATCACAACCCTATGGGTCCTTTTATAGCTGCCATGTATCAAAGGATAAACCCTAATTTGAATGTTAATATAATATATTTTAATACTATTTAAATTTGTTTCATTATATACACTGAAGGCTTCGAGAACCATTTTGACAGGCTCCCAAAACCATCCAAAAACGAGGGTTCTAGAATCCCTCATTTGCTCAACTTTTAAGCAACTACATCTTAACCCTTGTACCTCATATTAATTCCAATTAACCCAAAATTAATTTTCAGTTAATTTTGATTAATTCTAAATTGATTATAATCAATTTTTAATTAATTTATCAATCATATAATAAATTAATAGATTATTTCCTCTTCTAATATCATTCCTAACTATTTATGGAAACGATGGCAACCCAAAAATGACTTGACTTTTTTTGTGCTCAAAGTGATTGATGCTGGTTGGCAGAGGTGACTAGGATGGGGTGTGACCACATCTTTAAAATGAATCTAGAAAAAGGGTGAGGTAGGATTGTTGGTCTCTCTAAAATTAAGAAAACAAACAAAAATAAAACTAATTAAAATATCAAATAATATTTAGCAACGCCAAAAACTAGTATTTTCGGGTAGGTAGTGACGGAAATTGTAACAAACCAATACCTTAAATTGGTCCGAGTTAAAAAAATTAAAAAATAAAAAATAAATAGACAGAACATACAGATTACTATAAACAAGAGGGCCCATTCCTGTAATTTACCCTATTTTTTATTTTTTATTTGTCTTCTCACGAGAAATTAAATATATAATCGAGAGCACGCATACATAAATAGCAGAGTCCAACGAATATGAGGAATGGAATCTTAGATTTGAACAAGTCATCACTTTGTTTAGCAATCATAGATTTGAACAAGTCATTAAGCACAATAATATGTTCTTTCATTCTCCTGACGCATAGAGAAATCCCATGCATGCTTCGTCATTTTCATATTTTAACAAGGAATTATAGTTATGTCATAAACACAAATAAAATAATGGAGGATCTGAAGAGTAACAGACGGCAACGATCTTTTAACATGTAGACCCTCACTCCCTCAGTTCAAGACTTGGTCATATTTGATGCCATGCCGTACAAAACTTGTTCAACGCCTTTGGAATTCCTTCTATAAATAGCCACTTCATCTAAAATCTATTTCATATAGACGCAAATAACTTGAAGCATATTGTAGTTAAGTGATCAAAGATGGCTACAAACAGGTGGAGTATCGTTTTATTTATAGCAATGGTTGCTGCAATAGCTTCTTCAGTTACTGCCAAGGAGTTCATTGTTGGTGATGATAAAGGTTGGACCCTCAACTTCGATTATCAAGCTTGGGCTTACGGCAAGAAGTTCGTTCGTTGGTGATAAACTGAGTAAGCGCTCCTTAATTGTGCTATGAGCATTAGGTTTATCGTTTAGGTTCTGAGCATGATTTTATACATGTGATAGTATCTAAATCCTATCTTTATTCTGGATGTAGTTTTCAACTATGCTGCTGGAAAACACAATGTCTTCAGAGTCAATGGAACAGTATTCCAACAGTGTATGATTCCTCCTGTTAACGAAGCTCTCACTAGTGGATACGATGTCATAACCCTTCAAACACCCGGAAGAAAATGGTATATTTATGGAGTTGGAAAACATTGCGAGCAAGGTGGTATGAAGCTTTTCATCACTGTTCTCCCTCAATCAATACCACCCCCGGCTCCTTGGGTCTCCCCTGTTCCATCAAGCAAGGTGTTTGTGGTTGGTGACGATAAAGGATGGACCTTGAACTTTGATTACCAAGCTTGGGCCAAGGGAAAACAATTCTTTGTCGGGGACAAACTTGGTATATTTTCTTATAAACCACTGTAATGTTTTATGTTTTCAAATTAAGGCAATTGCTAACTGGTTAAATATGTATATATAATTGATATAGTCTTCAGATACGCTGTGGGAAAGCATAATGTGTTCAGAGTAAATGGAACTTCCTTCCAACAATGTACTATCCCTGCTGCTACTGAAGCTCTCACAAGTGGATACGATGTGATCACCCTTGAAACCCCTGGGAGGAAATGGTATATTTGTGGTGTCGGAAAGCACTGTTTGATGGGACTGAAACTTTTCATCAATGTACTCCCCCAGTCAACATATCCTCCTCCTCCGTACCATGGAGCACTTAAACTTGCACCACACAAATTCTAGGTTGCATGAATTGCTTTCTCTTTTATGTTGTTAAAAGAAGCTTTTGTTATGGTCTGATCATGCATCATAATATTTATTATATTTGTCATATGTGTGTCTTTTTTTTTCTGGTATTTATTGGCTGGAACCAATTAATTTGTTCCCTAATATTATTATGGACTCATTCGTGTAATTCAGAAATATATTATTTATGCTCTACAATCTTTTAATTTGATTGACTTAACTGACTACACTATTAGAAAAAACGAAAATACCTACAGCAAGATCCGTAGGTATTCCGTAGGTATACGGGTTTACCTACGGAATTGTGACGAAATGGGTGCCGTAGCATAATTGCTCGTGGGTAATTCTTAGCGACGGAATTGCGACGGAATATCGACGACGGACACTTACCTACAGATTACCGACGGAAGTCATTTGCGACGACATTGCGACGGAGTACCTACGGACACTTACCTACATATTACCGACGGAATACCTACGGAAAAAAATACCGACAGAATTGTGACGGATTACCTACGGAATTCCCTTTTGACTGGTATGGACTTATTTACCGACAGGCGTGCTTACCGACGACATTTCCGTCGGTAATAGTCATTTTATTTAATTATTAAATTTAAATATAAAATATTTCCATTTTTTTTGTCAAATATGCAAGATAAGTAAACACAAACATAATAACACTACAATTAAGGTTTCAAAATACACAAAAAGTGTTCCAAATACACCAAGTTTGCAAAATAAGTGGACACATTCATTTGTTCCATTGTCACAACATTCATACCAACTAAAAATTAACAAACATTCATTCCAAATACCAACATGCATAACTTATACACCATCCTCGGGTGGAGTATGAGGTGGAGTATGAGGGGGATCATTGGCTTGATTTGTTGTACCATTCATCATCATCGCCATCCTTTCCATTTGTTGTACCATTTGTTCTTGCAATTGTCGCATGTTAGAAACTTCTTCACATAACCTATCAACGTAAAAAACGATAATAACAATGTACTTGAATTTATTATAACAAAATAGCAATGTACTTTTGTTTTTAATCAATTGTATCCATAATAACAAAATACTACTTAACTTGTAAACCATAATAACAATGTACTTTTGTTTATTATCAATGTAATCCATAAGCACAACAAACCACCTAACTTTTAAACCATAATAACAATGTACTTTTGTTTTTAATCAATTTTATCTATAATAACAACATACCTCTTCTTGTGTGTTGTTGTTGGATTGGGTGGACCGGGTAGATTCGGAAGATGTTATCCCAGAAACCACAAAATTGGCATCCGATGCTCCTATACCATAGATAAGACCCTTCTTTTTTCCTCCTGTTCTCCGAATTTGGCTTTCAACCCATACCTCCGCATCGTGTCTATGGTTTGCCGGGTCTTCTCCATATTTCATCACTAACCCCTCTAGATATGCATCCTACAATTTACCAAAACAACACCCTTGTCATATACAAAAAAATTGAGACAGTCAATATAAAAAAATAATGTACTTTTGCATCTTTGGCTGTTTCAGAGCAATATTCTATATTTTCACGTTCTCCCTCGAAATATCTTTTCTTCGACTCACTGGTGCCATGTGTCTTCACGTATAGATCACAAAATTCGGGATCTTTACCCAGATGTGCTTTCTACATAAAAGACAAAGTATAATTGATGCAGTCAGTGTTAAAAAAACAAGAATAATAAATTTTACAATTATGATACCAACCAATCTACGACGGTGCTCGGCATATCCTATGCTACCAGCCGTATGCCTTGATGTCTTCCCATTGGAATCAGGGGTGTTCCGGTTCGTCTGAGCAGCATCCGACAACTTTTGCCATTTCTCTGTGCTCCAATGTTGTTAAAAGAAATATATATTTAATAATATAATAAGTAATAAAAATCAACAAAATAAAACAATAATATATTGTATCTCTTACATCACACAAGCGTGGCCACACAGACTCTGGTACCATATGGGGACGGTATTGATACATCTCTGGAAAGTATTTAGAAAAATCTTTTTTAAGTGGTAACCCATCACGCCGTGCCATTCTGGCAGATAACTTCCTCAAACCCCTCATCCGGTCCCTGTTCTTTCCTTGAGGACATTATTGAATGCTGTATATATCGACTCATTCTCCGTTGTGTACCACCTATATTTTGTCTATAAAAAAATAAAAAGTATACTTAAAAATAGAAAGTAAAAAGAAATGAGTTTAAGATACAATAATAAATATTTAATATACTACCCTAAAACGTGCAAACATATGTTTACGAGTCTTTTCCGTGATGCTCTTATATGTAGGCCACGCATCATCCATACTCTGCCAAAAGAGATCCACAACCGCACTGTGGATAGAATGATCACCAAACCTACAAAAAGAACATATATAAGTGTAATTACAACATCAAAAATTAAATATTTAAAAGATGAAAACACTAACTTATCCCCTTCTTTGTGGATAATGGGCAACGATGAGTCATCAAAATCACCAGCATTCGAGCCATGATCGCCTGAAATATCTCTGGAGGCGGAGCCATGTGGCGTCAGTGGTGTGTGTGGCATGACCGGTGTATCTGGCATCGACATCTCTATGCCTCCACCCTCAAAAAAATAATCCTGAAACCCATCACCACCATGGGTTCTCAAAACTGTAGGTGAGGTCCGACAACCCCTTTGTGGGTGGAGGGGTGGGGGCGGGGGTGGGGGTGAGGGCTGGAGCCCATAGCCTGTTTGTGTAAGTGGAGGTCGGGGCCAATAGCATGTCTATGAGGGATGTAATCGATGGCTCATCTGTTGGGGTTGGGGTTGGGGCTGGGACACATAGCCCATCTGTTGAGCCTGGCGCATAACCCCAGCTAAGTCTGCTAGAGGATCAGCCATGTTGGTTTGCGGAGTAATGGCACCTTGACTATTGGAGCCTGCGACTTCAGTGATCATAGGCATGTCGATCGGTGTGAGCAACGTCGTATGACGTGGCTCTTCAGTAGAATTAGGGGATGCCACCCCCCCTACGCCCCGTACTGCCAGAAGAAGGGTTGTTCTTCCGGCCTTTATCATTTCGTCCATTACCCGACATGCTGCATTTAATAGAACAAGAATGGTCAGATATATAATATAAGATTCATAAGTCAAGACAAAACAAATGTTTAAAACAACGAGATGTCCATACCAAACTCATTACAAAAACAACGTTTCATTATAAGGTTAAAAAAGACAATGCCCCTAACATCAACAAATACAACGCTCCTAACATAAACAAAAGATAATGCTCCTAATATTCGTCCCCATCATCTTCATCTTCAAATTCTTCTTCTGAATAAAACAACTCGTTTCCATAATCTTCGTCTTCAGAACCTTCCTCTTCTTCGTCTTCCTCCCTAGATCCCTCATTCTCGTCATCAGATATTTGCTCATATGTATTTATAGTTGAGGCTAGGCATAATCGTTCTGCACGAGTTACAGTAACAGGTGACTCAAACCGTTCTTCACCCTGAAAGATTTATTCTGCTTCCATTTCAGCTTCGGTGACTTCAAATACCCCTCTTGGTTTTGTTTTGATAACCATCCACTTATCTTTCGTCTCATTTTCCATTGAAGGGTATGGTGTATAAAAGACTTGTTCTGCTTGTGATGCCAAACAAAATGGGTCGTCAGTTTGAAGTCGAGAGTTGGTTTTGACATCAATCAACTTGTTTTTGTTGACTATTACACCATCTTTATTATCAAACCAAATACAATTAAACAGAACAACAGTCTAGGGCCCGCTACTATAATACTCAACCTCTAAGATCTCTTGCAATATGCCGTAGTAGTCTGACTCTTGTTCATCATTATACGTCTCCCCTCTCACACATACTCCAAAGTTATTAGTCACACGACCCTCACCGTATTGTTGAGTGTGGAACTTATAACCATTTACAAAATACCCATTATGAAAATGAGCATGTCTCGATGGTTTCTCAGCTATAACTTCTAAGTGTTTAGCACTTCCATCGGGTGTCTTATTCATTACCTAAAATGAAAACATACACACATTGTGTTGGTTAATGATGTGTAAATAATAATCGGTACTAGTGAACTGGTTCTACTTACTCTGTCTTCAAACCATTCAGCAAAGAATTTATCTCTTAAATCTGAAACCGATTCATTTGGATTCGTTTTCATGAACAGCTCATCAAACTCGAGGATGTAAGGGTTAGCTTCTTTACAATTAAGTAATATGTAGGTGTGCGCCTTGTGAAGGTCTTTATCACTCAAGGGTTTTCGTTTTCCACTTTTTTCATATAATCTTCTTGATGGGACGACAAAGATGCTAAGTGGAGCTTCTCCACTCGAAAACCTATGACTTTGCGGTGCGAAATTTCGTGCCTCTCGATTATGGCATGTCTCAATCGTCGGGTCAAAATATAAAGAACAATAGGTAGCAAGTTCATTCACTAGATGTTCATTGACGATTGAACCCTCAACCCTTGCTTTGTTCCTGATTCTTCTTTTAATTATGCCCAGTTTCCTATATTTAAAAAGTATGAATGATATCTTAGGAATACCACAAATAACTTTAAAAATGTTAGATATATAATATTAAAATAGGGTGATTACCTCTCGTATTGATACATCCATCTGTATTGTACCGGACCACCAACAATAGCTTCATCTGCTAAATGTATGACCAAGTGTTCCATGGAATTAAAGAAGCCAGGAGGGAATATTTGCTCCAACTTGCACATGGTTTGAATAATACTACGTTTCATATCGAACAAGTCGCAAACATCCAACGTTTTTTAGCATAATACTCGAAAGTACATAGATATCTCCGATATGACCTCGTATATTTTTGTTGAAACAAACCCTATTACGGCTAGGGGAAGCAACCGTTGCATAAACACGTGACAGTCGTGGCTTTTGAAACCATAAAAACTATAATCTTTGATGTTTACGCAGTTCCCGATATTAGATGCATACCCGTCAGAAAATTTGAGATTTTTCAACCAAACACATACTTTTTTAACATCTTCCTTTTCCAATGTGTAATCTCCAGGCTTCTTCCGAGTCTTCCTATTGTTTTCCGTGATGGGGTTTAGTATAGGTCGGTCACAAAGTATCTCAATATCCTCTCTTGCCTTTATATTGTCCTTGGACTTTGGGGTGCCCATTGAAGTCTGAAACATATTTTCAAAAAAATTCTTCTCGATATGCATCAAATCGAGGTTGTGTCGGATCAATAGGTGACGCCAATATGGAAGCTCCCAAAAGATGCTATTCTTTACCCAGTTGTGTGTAATACCAAAACCATGAGGTTTTATATAATTTGGACCATAAGGAGTACCGTTGTATACAGTGGGGAAATGTTGGATTTTCTCCCAAATATATTCTCTGGTTGGGTGTATACCGTTGTATACACTTCATGACCCTTCACTTTCTTGCCTTTTAAAAAATTAATTGTATCATTTCGGAATATGTGTCTTTCGGGTAGATGTTTTCTATGACAGTCAAACCAACACGGTTTTTGTCCATTGGAAAGTCGGAATGATTCTGTTTGGTGCATGCAATAAGGGCAAGCTAAAGTACCATGCGTGCTCCATCCGGATAGCATTGCATAAGCAGGAAAGTCACTAACTGTCCATAAAAGTACAACCTTCATCTGAAAATTGGTCATTCGATAGGCATCATATGTTTCAATGCTATCTGTGAACAACATCTTCAACTCGTCGATCAAAGGTTGTAAAAAAACATCCAAATTCTATCTGGGGCTCTTCTTCCCGGGAATGATCAACGGAAGTTGTATGTACTGATGTTTAAAAGCCAACCAAGGGGGTAGGTTGTAAACGGTGATAAACACCGGCCAACATGAATAGGGAGTTGTGTTTGAATTATTAGGACTAAACCCATCGGTTCACAACCCGAGACGAATGTTGCTCGTCTCTTTTGCAAAATCAGGAAAGGTTCTGTCAAAATGATTCCATGCTTTACCTTCACTGGGATGTATCATCTTTTCTGGATCTACTGGATGATCTGAATGCCAAGTTAAATGTTTGGCTGTCTTCCTTGAATAGAACAGCCTTTGAAGTCTCGGTCCAATCGGCATGTAAGTCAAGACCAAATTAGGAACCTTCCTCCCTTTGTCTTTGTATCTATTTTCGCCACATACTACACAATGATCCAGCTCAACAAACTGACCCCTGAATAGCATGCAATGGTTTATACATACATGAATCCATTGTTAAGGCAATTTTAGTGGCTTCAACATTTTCTTGGTCTCGTAGAAGCTATTAGGAAGCTTCTCGCCAATTGGTAGAATGTCTTTAACTATCGAAAGTAGTCTATCAAATGACGTGTCTGAAATATTAGATTGTGATTTCCAGTCCAATAATCTAGTGGTGGCAGAGAGTGTGGAAGATTTTGTACACCCGTCCCATAAAGGCTCACTCGCTTGTTTCAAAATTTTATAAAAATTTTGGGCTTCAAGATTTGGGTGTTGTGGTGTTTGTTGATAATAAGAAGCTTCGGGTTTGTTGCGTTCAAGTAAGCAAAATCCAAAAAAAATTGACATAATGTGGCCATTGGGTATTAAACAAACGATTACTATCAAGTCTCTTCATGTACATCCATTCTCTATTAGACAACATTTCAATCTACAACTACTAATATACAATTGTTAGAACTCCAAACTAAACATGATAGAAATATAACATGCCATTTAATCTAACATATAATCTAAAATCGAAACAATCAACAGTTTTAGTCTTATAAGCTGTCTCATGCAACAACACAACAACAAAAGTTCATAATCCGTCACATTTTTAGAATCTGTCCCAGTTTTCCATTATACAATTCATAAATTAATAAAATATTCAAATCATTAATTCCACTGTTTCATAATAAGATATATGTTTTAACTTTGAAAGTAAAACCTTATACAACCAAATCTTGACACCAGATATTGTTACCCACCAACATGGACAAAATATTAACCTTGATAAAAAAACTAGAACAAACATGGACAGAATATTAAATTACCATATTAACCTTGATAAAAAAATTAATTTAAAATACCTTTCATATCTAATGATTCTGCATAATTAGCTAATAATAAGAATCTTGTGTAAAATTTCCAAAAACAATACAAAATCAAAACTAGAATCTTGATTAATTTCTTTTTCATTCAATAGACTACAAGACTGAAACTCTATCCACACAGAATTTCCCATGAATCCTCGTCTCTCTAACTTTAACCACTCCATCCTCTCAACCTGATACTCATCTAAATTAGTGGGAAATTCCATCCTATCGTTCGATCCAGAAAAGAAACTCTACTCGAAGGGGGAACACAATCGGGTGCAGAAATTAGTGGGAAATTCCTAATCATGGAACTTACGTGTTTATTTGACAGCTTTTGAAGTTATTTTAGGGGATTAAAATAGATGCATTGAAGTTATTTTAGGGATTTACCTGGACAAGAAATCGAGCAAAGAGGGGTTCCACCAAAGGGAGATATGCGCTGGGAGATACGCCGGGAGATGCGTCGGAGCTACGCCGGAAAAAACGCCACCGAACGGAGGGAAAAATCGGTAAAATGGGGAAGAAGGAGGAGGAGGCGTTCACTGTGTTGGAGAGGGTTTCGAACGTTTTTTTTAATTAGTGTTTCAGTCTTTGAGCAAAAAGGCGTATATCTGATTTTCATTAAAAATTTACCGACGGAAACGTCGTTACCGACGAATCTACAACGAAATAGCGACGGAATACAAAAAAATTCAAGTTTGGTGCAAGAATCGAACTTGGGTCACTCGTGGAAACAACCAACACAGATACCATACGGCAAGGCATGCCACATCCGAAAATAATCCTCCACTCTTCGTTTTATACACTACGACTTTGCTTTATTATTATTATTATTATTATTATTATTATTATAATAATAATGAATAATAAAAATTATTTATCATTATTATTATTACTATTATGATATTTTATTATTATATTTTTTTTATATTCATATCTTATTATTATTATTATTATTATTATTATTTATACATACATACATACACATACACAATTACACAAACATT